CTTGGTCTAAGGTGGTTCTTGGGTCTAAATTGAAGCCCTAGAAGTCTACTTTCCAATGGTGGTGGCCTCACATTTAAATTCCAAGTGTACAAAGAGAAATGCCTAATTTAGTGAAGGCTGCTCATTTTCTTCTTAATGATTTGATACTCATCCTTTTCCTAAACCAGCTTTCTTTCATCCCCTCCTATTTCCTTTAACTCCAAACCTATAAAGAAGATATTTTTAAATATTTTTCAAAAAGTTCACCTCCCTTCCATTCATTTCCACTTTGCCCTTACTCGGTTTACTGAAAAGTGCAATATTTTAATTGAAATGGGAGCCTCGGGACATCGTAGAAACATTTAAAAAAAACATATTTTGAAAAGAGGGTTTTAAGGTCTAAAATAGTTTGGCCAAAAAATGGGTGAAGGTTGGGATTAAAACTTAAATTCCATCTTTCTTACTGAGAATTTTGTGAGAAACACATTCTAATTGTCATCATCGGGTAATCAAAAGAAAGCGCCTAAGTCTTAGGGCCGATCAAAAATGGGGTGTCTACAATTGCCCCTCTTTGACCGAGCTCAAAGTCATTTCATAACGTGAGTGAATGTCAAAGCCCAAAGACGACCCTTTTGACAAGGCCGTAAGACTTGGGCAAGCAAACAAGATGCAATGCAAGTGGTTGAACTCGAAGGTTGCCTACGTATCCTTTTGCAAGGAATCAAACTAGCGTAGTTCAAGGGCAGAATGGAAGTGACATGCTCAAAATGCAGTTTGAAGGTTGGACTTACACGCTTTGCGAAGCCAGTTGTTTGAAAATTCATGATTATGCAATGCAATACAATGCCATAGAGTGATGATAAAGATATGAAGATGATAACAATGAAGAGGCAAGCTTCGTGCAAATGATATGAAACATAACAGGGGGTGCATTGCATTAAATGTGCCACAAGATCACATACAATCACAACATAATTTTAACCGAGTGAAACAACAGCCTAACGCATCTCACGCGAAAGGAGGAAAGATGGTGCAAACACCAGACGCACTTGATGTTTTTAACCAAGTAAACTTGCAATCCCAACGCGTTTCACGCGATAGGAGGAATGGCGGTATAACCAACAAGCATACCTAATCGTATCTCATACGGAGAGGAGGAAGGTTTTAACCAAGGAGAACAACAATGGTGTAACCAACAGGCATACCTAACCGTATTTAATACGGAGAGGGGGAAGGTTTTAACCAGGTAGCAAATGACAATGGTGTAACCAACAGGCGTATCTCAACGTATTTTATACGGAGAGAGGGAAGGTTTTAACCAGAGAAAATGACAATGGTGTAACCAACAGGCGTATCTCAACGTATTTTATACGAAGAGAGGGAAGGTTTTAACCATAGAGAATGACAATGGTGTAACCAACAGGCGTATCTCAACGTATTTTATACGAAGAGAGGGAAGGTTTTAACCAAAGAGAATGACAATGGTGTAACCAACAGGCGTACCTAACCGTATTTTATACGGAGAGGGGGAAGGTTTTAACCAAGTAGAAAATGAAAATGGTGTAACCAACAGGCGTATCTCAACGTATTTTATACAGAGAGAGGGAAGGTTTTAACCAAAGAAAATGACAATGGTGTAACCAACAGGCGTATCTTAACGTATTTTATACGGAGAGAGGGAAGGTTTTAACCAAGTAGAAAATGACAATGGTGTAACCAACAGGCGTATCTCAACGTATTTTATACGGAGAGATGGAAGGTTTTAACCAGAGAAAATGACAATGGTGTAACCAACAGGTGTATCTCAACGTATTTTATATGAAGAGAGGGAAGGTTTTAACCAAAGAGAATGACAATGGTGTGACCAACATGCATATCTCAACGTATTTTATACGGAGAGAGGGAAGGTTTTAACCAAGGAGAACGTCACATCCTAACACGTTTCACGTGAAAGGAGTAATGGTGGATTCGAAATCCAAATGCGTCTCACGCAAGTGGAAGAAGGTATGGTAGAATGACAAAGGGTAACCTCTACATATAGAAGCCACCGATGCTGCTTTTCTTCCTGATCATATTCACAACTTTCCCTATTCTCCAACGGGGTGACAGACTAGGTTCGTTCAGTATCCAGAATTGAGGCGCATACATGCTACCTCAACCTATGGGGCTGCTATATAGATTTCAAGCCGAGGATACACCCCTGGGTATTTAAACTAGACTTTAGTCTTGGAAATTCCAAACCTTTTGCGTTCTAGGCATTGCCATTCGAACTCTAGTTTCCACCGTTGCAGTTGGTCTCATAGGAACTCATTGCAAACACAGGTAGAATAATACACAGATATTTACAGACAAAATACAAACACATACACAGATGGGGAATATTCTGTTTACAGGCATCAGCGGGAACATGCCGTTACTAAGAAGGCATACTCCGCTTGCTGACGTCGGCACACGTACTCAAAACACGCAAAAAAAGAAAGGAAAAATGCAAAATGCATGGACACGGGGGTACAGGGTTTCGAACCCCTGGCCTCAGGCCTAGTCTTCGAGTCCTCGACCACTGAACCACGCCACTCTTATGACAAGATATGCAAACAAATATATATATACTGTACAAGACATATATATACATAAAACCAAAACAAAACAAAAGATACATTTGTTGTGGGGTTCGAACCCCTGACCTTGGGCTCAGCCTTCCAGCCTTCAACCACTGAGCCAAACCACTAAACCTAAGCCACTCTTGTGACCAAAATGTTCAAACAAATATATATAATACATAGATATACAATATATATACATATATGTATAAATATACAATTCTCCCGCCTCTCTCTCTGTTTTTGTCTCACTCTCTCTTCCGTCATCTTCTTCGAGCGTTGTGTCTGGCGCGCGATTTCAACAATCGCGGCGCCTGACCGACAGGCCATCCAATCGTGCCCCGATTGTCAATGATCATCTTAGCCTTCTTCCCTCTTTGTCTTCTCCTTCGCTCTCTTCTTAAGTTGAGGCCTGCGAGAGAGAATCAGAGCCAAAGCCTGCAAACTTTCTCTGCCACCACTCTGCAACCTCTTTTTTTTTTTGCATTACTCTCCTTTGCCATGGCTTCTTCACAGGGTTCTCTCACTCTTTTTCCAGACCTGAACGAGTCCACGATAGAGATGACCGATTCTGACTCTCCTGAACCTCAACCACGAGCTCCTCCTCCTTCCCATGTTTTCAACTTTCCAGCGATGTCAGTTGAACATATCATAGTGGCACAGTCTGACATCGAAGCAAACTCATATACACTGAGGTCATGTGTGGAGACCGTGACAGCGGTCTCCAACTTGTCCCGTCGACTGCAAAATAGGACGTGTGAAGTACATCAGTTACATGCACAACTCTCCCTCCTTCAACGTATGTACAAAGACGCTCGAGTAGAAATTAGTGCGCTGAAAAAGCAGAACAAAGAGCTGAAACGACTGACGACCTCCGTGACTCGATTTGGAGTTTCTTCGCACAACCAATTTGATGGTCGGCGAGGAATAATCTCCTTTGGAAGCTCTGCCAAGGCCAAGGCAGAGTCTTCAAAAGCTTCGAAGGAGTAAAGATAAAGCGAGGCAGTTGATGGCAAAGTCAGGCAACGAAGCTGTGTGCAAATGAAGCCGGCTGTAATCTTCTCCGCCGAGCTACTGCTGAAAAACTGAGAAAATGCTACTCTCTCTCTTTTTGGTTTTTATTTTTTGTTTTTTTTGTTCTTTTGGTTTTTTTTTTTGGTTTTTTTTTTGGTTTTTTTTTTGGTTTTTTTGAGTCTCTGTAATCGGGGATGTCCTCCTCTGACTTCAATAAAATCAATTTCTTTTTTAGCTCATCACTGGCATGACTGGGATATCACTTTGAACTTGAAAACATTTTTGTTTGATTGAATTTGAGAGTGATTGAATTTTGAACTCTGAATTGAACATTGATTCTATACTGACCTGAATCAAAGAATGACTTAACGAAAGAAGAACGAAACAAAACGATCCAAACACACTTATATATACTGACTAGTATAAATACACCGATTGGTATAAATATATTGACTGGTATGAAAGGAACACACTTATATACACTGACTAGTATGAATACCCTGATTGGTATGAATACACTGACTGGTATGAATACACACTTATATACACTGATTTGTATGAATACCTTGACTGGTATGAATATACACTTATATACACTGAATACTTGACTCGAGCGATGGGGAAGACAGAATCTCTAACTCGACTATGCCCCTAGTTTATTGCCCTGACCCTTTTTTGTCTCTTGATTTTTATTTTTTTTTTTTGTAAAAATGTTTTGATCAACATGAGAGTTAGATTAGCATACTTATTCCTTTTTCTGTTTCAAATCATGTAAGCTAAATTGTGAGCACTAAAAATTTTCCCTTTTCAAATCTAAAGAATGGTCCAAGTTTTGCAAAAATGGAACAATTTTTGAGAAAAATTAGTCAACTTCATTAAAAGTCCTCAAAATTTATTTTCGCAAATGACCACTACTTGATCAACACGAAATCAACCCTTGAGATGTACAATGAATTCATCTTGTGACTAAACCTGTCATGAAAGAGAAATAGAACAACTGAATCAAATGGGAACGAGCCAATCAAAGATAGCCGAGTCGAATAAAGTCACCCCAATCAAACATGGACGAGAAGAGTGAGTTGAAAAATGATTAAGACCGAACTTCAAGATGAAGCTGCCTACGTATCCCAAATATAGGAATCAGGTCATACGTAGTTCCAGCTAAGGTTCACTCGGGTATTGACACTCTCCTTTTATGCTTTAACTTTTGCCAAGGCCGCACTTTCAGGTTTTCAACCTTGCGAGCTTTTCATTTTATTTTTATTTATTATTATTATTTTTATATATATATTTTTTTTTATTTATTTTTATTTATTTTTTATTTTTTTGTTTTTCTGCTCTAACTTTTGCCTGGGTCGCCCTTTCAGGTTTTCGGCCCAGCGAGCTTCTCAAGGGTAGTACTTCTTCAGCTTGTCCATGTTGATTGGTTGTGAGAACTCCAAACCATCCAAATCCATGAGAATGACCGCTCCTCCTGACCAGATTGATTTAATGATGTAGGGACCCGTCCAATTGGGTCTAAACTTGCCCCTAGGATCGTGAATAGGAGCTCGGTTGTCTTTCAACACTAAGTCCCCTTCCCTCAAATTCCTGGATCTAACCTTTTTGTTGAATGCTCTGGCAATCCTGCGTTGATACCCCTGAATGTGGTATAACGCCTTCAACCTTCGCTCATCAAACAAAAATAGTTCCTCAAATCGGTTCTGTTGCCAATCAGCTTCTGTTATCTGACATTCAGCCATAATCCTTAATGAAGGCACTTCCAACTCAATCGGCAAAACAGCCTCCATTCCATATACCAAAGAGTAAGGGGTTGCCCCTGTAGATGTTCGGATTGATGTCCTGTATCCCCAAAGTGCAAAAGGCAACTTCTCTGGCCAATCTTTATAAGTTTCTACCATCTTACACAGAATGTTCTTGATGTTTTTATTTGCAGCTTCAACGGCTCCATTGGTTTGTGGCCTGTAAGTTGATGACTTGTGAAAAGCCACGTTATACTTCTCAAGTAGAACTGCCACTTCTCCTTTGAAATGTGAACCATTGTCTGAAATTAATTCGTTTGGCACCCCGTATCTACAGATAATGTTATTCCTGATAAATTTGGCCGCGTGTGATGCTTTCAGCATTGAATACGACTGTGCTTCAACCCACTTGGTAAAATAGTCAATGGCAACCAAGATGAACTGATGCCCATTTGAACCTTTCGGTGTGACTGCCCCGATGACATCTATGCCCCAGACTGAGAAAGGCCAAGGCGAAGTCATGTTGTAGAGTTTTGATGGCGGGATGTTCACGCGATTGGCATGGATTTGAAATTTGTGGCATCGCCTAATAAAGTTGATGCAATCACTTTCCATGGTTAACCAGTAGTATCCTTGTCTAAGGATTTTTCTGGCTAGCATTATACCGTTCATATGGGCTCCACACTCTCCTCCATGGATGGCTTCCATGATACGTTTTGCCTCTTCTTCCTCTACACATAGCTTGTGCATTCCCAAATGCCCTCTCTTATATAACTTATCTCCACAAATGACAAACTGAGTGGCAAGACGCCGTATCCCCCTTTTATCTTTGGTGTTTGCCCCTTGTGGATATGTACCACTTTCCAGAAAATTCCAAATATCAAAGTACCAAGGGTTTTCATCTTGAACTTCTTCCGTTGCGGCTATCATTTCATATGCGGGGGTGCACCTTTGTTCTACAAGGATCGGACGCATCTTGACCCCGACCGGTATATCTATCATTGATGCCAAGGTTGCCAACGCATCAGCAAATCGGTTGTTCTCTCTTACCAGGGGTGTAAAAGTCAGTTTTTCGAACCTCAGGATCAACATGTCTAAGGTTTGATGGTAGACTTTCATTTTTTCCTCTTTAACTTTCCAGTCTCCGTTGGCTTGAGAGACGACCAAGTTTGAGTCCCCGATCACATCCAACCTTATTGCCCCTAGTTCCAGGGCTGCTTCCAATCCAGCAATGCATGCCTCATACTCTGCTTGGTTATTAGATACCTTGAATTGGAGTTTGAAAGCTAAGGGGATATGGGAATCATCCGGCGCTATGAGCAACACGCCTATCCCATAGCCAAATTGATTGGACGCTCCATCAAAGTACAACTTTCAAGTGTCTTCTTCCATCTGCATGACCTCTTCATCTGGGAATGAGTACTCCACATCTTCTCCTCCTTCAATTGGGTGATCAGCCAAAAATTCTGCTACAGCCCTTCCTTTGACAGATTTGCGAGTGACATACTTAAGGTCAAATTCAGAAAGCAAGAGTAACCAACGAACTAGCCTACCGGTAAGAGCTGGTTTCTCAAAGAGATATTTGATGGGGTCTTATCTTGAAACCAGAATTACTGAGTGAGCTAACAAGTAGTGTCTCAACTTCCTGGTGGCCCAAACCAAAGACAAGCAAGCCTTTTCCAAGGAAGTATAGCGGATCTCGTAGTCAAGCATCTTCTTACTCAAGTAGTAGATAGCTTTCTCCACTTTCTCATCTGACTCTTGCGCAAGCATACATCCCATGGTTGATTCAGTCACTGATAAATACAAAATTAGCGGTTTTCCTGGCTCGGGCGGTGATAACACAGGTGGATTCTGCAGATACTGCTTGACTTGCTCGAATGCAAACTGACATCGATTATTCCATTAGAACTTCTTCCCTTTCTTTAGGAGACCAAACAGTGGTTCACAAGTCAAAGTTAGCTTTGAAATAAACCTCCTTATGAATTGCACCTTTCCTAGAAAACCTCGTACCTCTTTTTCAGTCATTGGTGGCGGCATTTCTAAGATGGCCTTAATTTTAGATGGATCAACTTCGATTCCCCATTGTGTGATCAAAAATCCTAACATCTTACCCGCAGTTACCCCAAAGGTGCATTTTTGTGGATTTAGCCTTAGCTTGTATTCCCTAATTCTCTCAAAGAATTTCTTCAATGCAGTGTAATGGCTTTGTCGATCTTTGGACTTGACAATCATGTCATCTACGTACACCTCAACTTCCTTGTGGATCATATCATGCAGAAGAGTGGTAGCAGTTCTCTGGTAAGTGGCCCCGGCATTCTTCAAACCGAATGGCATAACCCTGTAGCAGTATGTGCCCCATGGTGTGGTAAATGTTGTCTTTTCTCTGTCCTCAGGAGCCATAAGGATTTGGTTATACCCTGAAAAACCATCCATGAATGACAGTAAAGCATGTTCTGCAGTGAAGTCCACCAATTCGTCAATATGTGGCAATGGGAAATCATCTTTTGGGCTAGCCTTATTCAAATCTCGGAAGTCAACACAAACTCGAATTCTGCCGTCTTTCTTCGGAACTGGCACAATATTGGCTAACCAGGTAGGATATTCTGATACTAGCAAAAAACCAGCATTGATTTGCTTGGTAACCTGTTCTTTAATTTTTAAGGCCTAATCAAGACGAATTCTGCGAAGCTTCTGTTTGACAGGTCGGGCCTCAGGGTCGAGAGGGATCCTATGCTGTACAATCTCAGGGTCAATTCCGGGCATGTCTTCATAGGACCATGCAAAAACATCTTTGAATTCTGTTACTAAAGCAACTAATTGTTCACGTTCCTCTGAAGACAATGTAGAACCAATTTGAATCAAGCGAGGATCTTTTTCAGTACCCACATTTACAGAAACAATTTCATCCACTAATGGCTTAGCACGCCTTTCTTCCTCCCAGTCGATTAAATTTTTCAAAGCCCGAGGAATTTCTTCCTCTTCGTTTTTATCAAAATTTTGAAAATTTTGGTCAATATTATAAACTATGGGCACAGAAAAGTAAGCGGAAATCACATCTCCATTCAAAGCCTTGGGCTCACAAGTTGCAACAGACTCAAAAGAGAAAGAAAAAGAAGACTCAGACATTTTAGACAAACTTAAATCTGCTTCCAACCCTACAGGCCCATCAAACTCAGACTCAACAGCCAATTCAGAACTCTCAATACAACTCTTTTCAAAATGCCAATTTATTTGTGAGCCATTCACCGCATCCATGATGAAGCTTGAACTGTCAGCAAGTACCTCTTCCCCGATCACGACAATGGTCATATCCCCCAAATTCATCGGTTCAGCGCTAGTATGTGATTTTGTCAATAAGTCAGCCAGTGTTAGACCCAGAACTTCCTTTGTGCTGCTTTCCGAGTTGACTTCTCTATCTTGTCTGATGTCGATACTAGGATCTACCCACTCCTCATCACTATCAGAAAGCTGATGATCGAAGAAGATCTCAAAACCAGGGTATCTCTTTTTCTCCACTTGATCAATCCAGGGCTCAGGGAAACCACAGAAAGGGAAGTCTTCTCCTTGGCGGACAAAGCGTCCGTTCAAGGTCCCACGAATTGGCTTATGAACTAACTCAAACTGCCGCCCGGTTCTCTTGGCCTTGATCCTCTCCCTGATCTCTTCAGTTTTCCTTTTCCAGTCATCAGCCGTGGGTGCATACCCCAGTCCGAATGCATGTGGGTTATGAGGTACTTCACTGGCTGTAGTAATACTTTTCCTGCCACTTTGTCCCAATCCCATCCCTGGAATGTGACCTAGTTTACTCATGAAATAGATTGATTGGGCACTGACGTATACACCTTCATCTTCTGCCATGAGCGTTTGAACTAGCTGGGCCTCTGCCAATGTAAAACCTGATAGGAATACATCTTTTTCCCCATGCTGTATTTCTAGCAGTGGTGTTGTGACTTCTGGGGGAGGATGAATGGATGAATTTCCGAAGACAGTGGCAATTCCTCTGCCATATGGGTACTTTACCAATTGATGTAGTGTGGATGATACAACTTTCATTTGATGAAGCCAGGGCCTTTCCAATAGTAAGTTGAACGTTGCAGGAACATCCATGACATGAAATTCAGCTTCGTGCTCAGATGGACCCACTGTTATTTGTACTTTGACTGTCCCCATCAATTCCCGACTAGTATTATCATAGGCCCGAATCAATTGAGTAGTGGGCGTGAAATCTGCTGGCTTTAGCCCAATTGCATAAGCAGTGCGTGTAGGGCAGACATTGATGGCTGATCCGGTGTCAATCAGAACAATCGGGATCCATTTCTTTCTGCATTCCAGTGATATGTACAGAGGCTTATTATGTTCTGATCCTTCTGTTGGCAGCTCTTTGTCAGCAAAAGTTATTGCTGGGATGGTTTCTCTTGGGGTGATTAATGACACTAACTGCTTAGGAGTGGTGTCAATTGATAGCTTAGCCTTGTTCAACATTGACAACATTGCCTGTCGATGTTCTCGGGAAGCCATGAGAAGTCCCCTGATGGAGATGTTTGCTTGGATCTTTTTTAGCTGTCTTAAAACCAGGTTTTCTTCTGTTTCTTTCTCCTTCTCTTTCTCTTTCTCTTTATCAATGTCAGTATCTTTGCCTGAGGATTCGCCTTGGTCTAGTTGTAGAGGTTTAAAGTAACGCCCACTCCTAGTTAGGTGATCAATTTCTTCAGAATACCAAGTCTCATCAGGCAAAGTACTACCCCACTCATCATCGGTGTGAGCGAGCTGCAAATCGCTATCATCCCACCATTCACCTTTGTTAACCGAAAGACAGTTGTCAGGCTTTACATGAATCATTCCCACGTTATACTCTAACAGACTTTTTGATTCTTCTTCTCTCTTGGAATCCCTTTCATTGCCACTGCTTTCAAACTTTATGGCTTCAATTTTTGGTTCATCATTTTTTCCTTTAGTTTTCCCATCAGAACCTTCATCATCACTTGCCCAACCGTGAGTAGCCTTGAAACTTCTTGGATCCCACCAGCTGATCTGCACATTTCCCAAATCCAATTCCTCAAAGAATTTGAGATTGTCCAAGTCTTCTTCTAGATTGGTCAAGTCATCTAATCCCTGTTCATGCATATCTTATCTAACGACATTGATGGTACATGAGTCGGGTAAGATAACTTCCGGTTTCAACTGGCCAACAGGTACTATGTATTTGTTGGGATCATATCCTTCTTCTAGTAGTTTTCCAGTCTCAATCATTGGTACTTCGGTTATGTCTTCTTTGGATCCTTCTTTTGACACGGCCTTTTCTTCCTTTGTTTGTACCACCACCACCACCACTATGGTCTGTTTTAGCTTTGGCTGGGTTAGAGGTGCATCCATCATACATA